TTGTTTACAACCTCCCCACGGACAGGAAATCCATGCAGTTTGCCATGATCAGCGAGGAGTGGCTCACCTGATACTGCAACAGCTGTGTTTCTCAGCATTAAAAGGTGTCATCTTTCCTATAATTTCCATCCTTCACAAAATAAACCAGTTAACCACACTTTCTAACTGAGGCCTCCTTGGCCTAAACCAGTGATTAATCTGCTTTCCTTTGGAGGCATTTTCCAGAGTTATCCCACGTGGTATCAGTAAATATGCTTAATGCCACCTAGAATTTCATTAAAAATGGTCAGGTCTTTTATACTGCCCACATGTATACTGGGCAAGTAGTATCTCATTGCAAAATGGCAAATTTAACACATACTTGGTACCAGAGATAATTCACTCTGCAACAGAGGAGGAAATCTGCATCTATTACAGGTGATATGTAAGTTTCCTATTGTCTGGAAAACTCTGCTCCTCACAGGACTGCAATCCACATACCCATCTAGGCAAAATTTTCAGATCAGCTGAGAACTAGGCACATACTTCGTCACCCTGAACCATGTTGCAGGTAATCTAAATTGCATTTATATTCTTACTTACAGGAAAATTCTGGTACGCTTGCTTAGAGTTGTTCTCTCTGGGGCACTCATGGGAGGACTAGTGCATTTGCATTGTGTTCCTCAGCTGCCAGGTGTAGCAGCAGAGATAAGCTCCAGTGAAACAGGAATGTCAGTGAGGTTGTTCTGTCTTCTGCCAGCTACCCACAAGCCAAGACTAAAATTCCAGTTATACAACTGCAATCCTCTTGCATAGCGCAGGCTGTACTCCCTAGCTCCTGCATGACAATGGGCAGTCTTCCCTTCCAAACCTTTGTACATCCAGTGCTCTCTAGATGCAGCAACTATACACTGATTGAGCTATAAACAAAGAACTTATTCAGCTATAAACCATGAAAAAGGATCTGCAGGGACTTGCTGCCTCTAAGGAAGTGAAGATGGTGCCTCCCTGTGTTCCTTGCTGGCAGGGTACGGGGCCCCAGGGAGAACTGTGGGCTTGCACGCATGCAAGACAATTGACATCTGGCTGATTTTTCATTTCAGCCGTGAAACTACCTCATTGTAAAGCTGTTTCATCAAGCAGGAGAAAGCATTCTTCACTGCTCAACAAAAGAAGACCAATTTGTTTCCTTAGGCACAATTTACTCTTTCACATTTCTGGGCTTTGTTGTATCCTTACCTACAACTTGAGAATGCTTTTGAAGTGAGAGCTAGCCAAGTTTGGAGATGAGCCGTGAAAACCTGGTAGATTACAAAGAGAATCTAACATTGTGTGATATTCACCTCTTGTCCTCATAAGGCTCATAGTATCCCTTCTTCTATAATTTGCTGTGTTGGACGCTGATCTCACTTCAAAGCTGTATTAATGTAGATTATTTCCAATGACTCTGATGGACACTCTCCACATTTAAGTTAGTGCAGCCTAGATTTAATGTCTCACCTCTCCATCCATATGTAAGGTATAACTTCCTTCCAGTCACCTTTGAATGTTGACCTCTTGAGTAGGTTGTCATTTAAGGCAATTTCTCTAAGCATAATTCCAATACCAAGGGGGCAAAAGTTGGATCATAACTAGAAAGTCAACAAAATAAGTCTTGGCAAGAAAGCTCAAGTAAGAGAATACCTCTCTGACCTGCAAGTCATCCACCAGTCATGAAGAGAACAGAAAGATGTCCTTCTTACATCAGTCCCCCATCGCCACTGAACAAAGTCCACTGACTCATTTCATCATTTCCTCAGATTGGAATCTACCTACTTTTCTCAGAGATGATTCACTGAGGATTGCTTAGAAATTGCCCTACTTTACAATTGAGAATGCCCACAGTATAAGAACAACTAATACTGGATGCAGGACAGTTGGTTGAAGTCATTTCCTAAGCCACTACCAATATACAGGTCAAGTACATGGAACTGAATAACAAAGAGGGTTGAAGTCTGCCAGGGGAATTAGAGGATTGTATGAAGAATCACCCAGCCTCCCTCCCACTCCAGAAACATTAAATATTAAGCATTTAAAAATCATGCAGTTCTCTTTATCCATTTATTAGTCTTTTCCTCTCTTCCTGTCTTCTTTGTCCTGCCTTCTGATAAAGATTAAAAAATCTCCTTGACTGTTTCTTGTGTTTGTCCGTGGAAGATAACCACAGATAACACGATATAGCCTGTATCTACAGCCTGTAGTAAAATTCAAGGCAGATGAACACGACTGCACAAAAGTAGCACGGTCGGCATGCCTCACGCTAGTAGCAGCCAAGCATGCTATGGCAACCAGCCAACCAATGACACTGGCGAGGAGCCAATTTGATTTATTTTTGGCAGCCTGAGACTGCATTCTACTACTGTGCCAGTCTTCGATCACAGAAACGATAAGAGATGACCTTTGAAAGCCAAGGGGACAACTTCTGGGAGAAGGGAACTGATGAAGCTGAAACAGGGTCTGTCCCCAGGCTAGCAGAGTACCGGAGTGGCAGATGTTTGGTAGCCCTCCCTCTTTCAAGAACAATCAACTAGTTCAATCATGCCAGCAACCATCAGTGAATGATATGTTTACTGGGTGAAGACTGGGAGAAAGGTCGAGACACGGTACATGTCTTTAAGACTATGAAAGGTGTAAGTGCCGAGAGAGAGAAAAAGAGAGGTTTAAAGAGATGAGAGGGAATAATAGAATGAAAATAAGCAAAAGAGAATTTAGGCATCCTAACATGAAATATTTTCTGTCTGTGGGATCTTTGACACTGAGATGATGCTCTTCTGTGGAAGAGGCTATGAAGAGAGAGCTGCTTCTTACTACGCTGGACGTTGTGTTATAGAGCATGTTGCAGAGCACAACCTAGCATCCTCAAAAAGACAGACAAGAAGGCCTATTTAATCTGTGTCTTTCTTTTTTTTTTTTTTTTTTTTTTTTTTCATTTCCTTCTTGCATTGCTCTGGGGGCATTTACCCAGCTGTTTGACTTTGTGACTGGAAGGTTGATACCATCCTTTAATAGGAATTTAAAAAAAATCTATATTCATTAACATTTTAAAGAGAATATCAGTTTAACTGTGGCCACACACCTTCCATGTTTGCTTTCTGCAAACATTTGTAAGCTTGAGTATTACTGCATGCATATTAAGTGAGTCTGAATAGATGCACATACTGGCCTTGAACAATCAAATAATCACTGAAAGCTCATTTTTAAACACATATTTGATTGTAGATTTTGTAACTTACTCCACTGGCTAGTTATTTACATAAGCAGCAGTATCATGTGCAAATGTGTATTAAATTGTAATGTTCTCATTTCAAATGATGTTAAGGGCAACAAGACCATGGGGAAGATATCTGCAAATGACTCAGAATACTGAGTACAAAAAAAAAAAACACATTATTTGATTACTGATCATTGAAAACAGGTAAAATTAAGCAAGTGAAATATTTTAATGCTATGAATTGCCTATCTCTATCCATTACAGAATATTACACTGAATAAAAATAGGATGTTAATTCACAGCAGAATAACTATTCTTATTTAGGAATAAGGCATTCCAAATCTTAACCAAAAGTTAATTTGCACTCATTATTCTGTGTACAAAACATTCCAAAATACTGAATTACTCTGTTCTGTTCTTACCAGTGGTGTTTATACCTTTGCTCATGTATAAATACAATGCAAGTACAGCACACAACATACCAAATTAGATTTCTCAAATCATATACCATTTATTTTGCCACTCAACTCATCGTATAAATTGAAAGACAGAAGGGATGGAGACCACAAAGAGCCAAACATGGTTGAATGCAAATTCAAGATTTATCTCTAGAAATTAATGCTTAAATGAAAGGAGGTAAAATAAGCATCCCTTTCCTGTTATGTACTTTCAGGTTAGAGTCACACTCCTCAAAGCAGTTCCCCTTGTCCACACATTAAAACAGAATTATTTTGCACAAGCTCTTCTCTGAGTACTTATCTGTCCTTTTGGATAAGTACTTCCTTATCTTTCCACTTTGCTGAATAGGTGCAGTCACCTGAAGCTCTGAGTTAACTATGAAGCTTGGAAGCCTAACTGTAGAATTGGATTTGTCATTTCGGAAGAGAAGTTATTCAAACAAATGGAATGAGGAAAAAACATCAATGAGTGCAAGTCTGGATGAAGATGCTCTCTAACATTTACGTAAGGCTGTTTATGAAAATCAAGATGATACACTACATTTTTTTCCTCAACAAGCTATTGATTACAGTTGAGTGCCTCATGAATGTGGAGGCCAGTTATAATTTGCACTGCCTCTTGATCAACTTTCATGTGGTGCCTGCCTCTGCTGTACTGTTTCTTTTATTTATATTGGTTTTTTTGATAATTTACAGAAAGTAAAGACCAAGAGCAAAAACGTCCTCAGGTCTTAGATGTGTTTTCTACCTATCTCAGTATCATAATTCAGCAACAGCTCTTCGTTATGGTTTGCAAACAATATGCTACTGTCAAAAAGGTTCACTTTTGCCACTCCAAACTTTTGACTTCTTCCCAGGGGAACTAGTTAAACAGACCTGCAGCTTGGTTAGGAGAAAGAATTGGAAAACACCTCCTAGACTGACTGTTTGCATTCAGTTCTCTCTCTCTCCGGTCCTCATTCATTGAGCTGTCAGGGCCTTTAATCTTCCCTTTCCTACCTGATCCTATTATCAGCTGACTGACCTTCTCCCATCACCATGCAGAAAAGGGCTAGATGACACATCCACCTACCTAGAGGAACAAGAGCCTGAAGAGAAGATGCATTTTTTCCAAAAGATGTTGGGAAGCAGAGGAGAGAGTGTTAAGGAAGAGCATGCACATCCACCACCCACAAAACCTATCAAAGGCATTCCGTCTTTGACTCTCACTCTGATTCCTGTGATGGAATCAGAGGTTTCGGAGGCATCTGTATGAGAACAAGACAGGTACCGATTTCTGGAGAGGCCCACTCCCTACCGAGGCGCTCACTCACCTGTCTTCTCTTCGGTTTGGCTGCTCTCCACTGTCTCCATTTGGGGTTGCGCTGTTGCCTTGGCAGTAGCATCCTCTGCGGCAGGGGTGGTGGTGGCAGTGGTGTCAGCAGCAGGCACGTCGGCTTGTTTAGGCTCCTCTTTGTCTTGGGCTTCGTCAGCCTTCAAGGATGGCGAGTTATCAGTGGAAGCTTTAGTGGCACTTTCCGTCTCGGCGGCGGCAGCGGATTTTTCCTCCGAGGAGGCGGCAGGAGTGGCAGCCTGCGGGGCTGGCTGCTCTGAGCCCGTGTCAGCGGCTCCATTCCCTTTTTTCTCCTCTGCTGGCGCGCTGCTGTCTTTGCTGCCCTCATCCAGCTGGGCACTGTCAGCGGCGCTGGCCTCTGTGGCAGCAGAAGCCTCACTCTCTTTGTTCTCGGCCGCTCCGCCAGCAGGGCCTTCATCCTTCTTGTCGGCGGCCTCAGACTCGGATGCGGGGGCATCTGCCTTCTTCTCTCCCTTGAGCTTTTTCCTTGTTATGTGTCCACGGAAGCTGGCCTGGATTTTGGTGGCTGCCTTATGAGCTTTATCTTCTGGTTTGATGCCATCTTGCTCAATCTTTTGGTCCCCGTCCTCATTTTTTTCAACCTTAGAAGAAGAACAAGGAAGGAGGGCAGAGGAGAAAACAGGGTAGTACGGTTAGGTTGCGGTTGGACTTGGTCTTTAAGGTCCTTGCCAATCTGAGCGATTCTATGATTCTATGATTAGGTAAGTTAAGACTTCTCCAGACACAGCCCAGACTCTGTTTTAATTGGGAAATTCCCACCCTCCCCTCCTGCTAACAGGTGACAAGTTTGGAAGCAGCCATTCCATTTGGTATGGGTTTGAGGCCAGTGGCTCTGATTTCATCCTACGGCTGGGCAGACACAGGGGATTAGCAAAAAGAATTTAAAGCACCCCATCATCTCTGCTAGCAATGCTAGAGCAATTTGCCTGCGTGGAAAGGCTTGCACTAGCTGGACTGTCACTGCTGGCATGATTTATTTTCCCATCCATTTTGAAATTTTTCAGTTTTTTCCCCCAGTCCTTTTCAAAACACTCCCCAACAGGGGTGTTCCATAGTCTTTCCAGACCCTCTTATGCCTTCAAATCTTTGTTCCTTTTTAATGAAACTTTGATTCACAGGTATGTGACTCTAGCTACATCAAGTATTTCATGCTTTATAGCTTTTTGACTCAGATTTGCCTGCAGAGACCATTACTGCCACCCGCCCTGCCACAGATGCATGCTGTTACACACGCACACACATCCTCCTCACAAATGGGCTGCCTGCAAGCACTCCAAGCCCTTTTTCTCTGCTCCCCACTCTCGGTTTCATTGTAAAAATAATGGACAGATAGATATCAGTATTTTCAATTTCAGCAGATTATGACTGTTTCTCTGATTTGGGTAGAATACAGCTTTACAACAAAGAACAAGCATTCCTCCTGTTTTTTAGACATAAGCCATGCATTAAAGACTTAAATGGGACCAAAACAGAGCCCATACTTCATGCTGGTCTGCTGCAGACAGATAATGCTCAGTTTGTAAAATCCTACTGAATTTACAGGTCATACCATTCTTCACCCCAATAACTTTAGCTGCTCTTGGGCAAGTAACAGCTCAGCTGCATACTGATGAAAGGACACCGTTCTATTAATATTCCCATTGGGAAGCATTCAAAAGAGCTACTCAGAAGCAGAGGCACTGGCCTCTTTGCTGTCTGCGCCTGGTTTCCAATACTGGCTCAGGTCACAAAAGAAAGAAAATGAGCTGGCTGAGAAAGATAGCAAGTGTTTATTTCTGCAAGGGAAGAAGAAACTATTCCTCAGGCCACTGCAATTGAAAGATGCCATCTGGGGAAAGGACCAGAGCCATAAGCTCATAAATACGCCCAAAAGACTGCAGCTGGAATAAGGGAGGAGACCCTGCTGTATCAACACATGATGCTGGAAACACTGTGTGTGAAGAGGTTGACAGTGGACTGGCTACAGTCAGCAGTCACTGAGAAACAGACTGTAAGGGATCATTCCCATGCAGAATGAAAACATTGATGTGAGACAGATGGGCATGCACATGTGAACAAAGCAGTGCCAGCAAACCCAATATTTGGCCATCAGTAAGCATGAAGTTCTACCCACCACATCATTCTGGGGCCACCAATGAGGACAAGGTCCCTTGTCCTGGTGTCCAAGCAGGATAGTTCCCCAGATAAACAGGGATGAACTTCAAGAGAGATGGTGGCCGAGGAGCCAGCAGCCCCAAATGACCATGGAAAAGAGCTGCTCAGCACAACTGTGCAGGGTTGAGAACGGGTCTGAATGCACCAGCACAGCTAATATTGCATTGTGACCCAGAGTTCTGCACAAATTCACCTACCCTGTTCTTCAGGCAAGCTTTGTAGTTTGTACTAAGTCCTGTGTTGCTGTAGCAACATTACTACTAATGTTAGACAAGTTGGTTTAAAAAGAGCATGAATATATCTGCATTATACTGAAGCCAGAGCAGCACAGACACAGACACAGGTACACAGACGTAGATATTCCTTTCTAGCACCAAGTAACACATGCCCTAGCTTTGACACTCACAAAGGTCTGTGATCAGTTTCAAACAGCAGCATGATTGGGAAACTGGAAAAATAACTACAAGATCCTAAAGATCCAGTACTATATGTCTGATTCCTGTCAAACCAATAGTGAACATGACAAAATTTCAGTCCTTGGACAACTATTGCTTGAATTGAAGAAAGAGAACTCTTGCCACTAGGACAGCTGTGATGAAATGTAGCCTTGCTGCATACCTTGATGACAGCTTCCTCCAGAGCAGATACCCTGTCACCAGGGCTATGCAATTCTGTGAGAACTGCTCTCCCTCCTGCTGCAGGGTGGATTCTCCTGACAGGAGAGTAGTGATCAAGGTGCATGCAGGGCTCACTGGCCAACCACCCTTTACCTGACCAGGAGTGGGAGAGTGCTTTTCCTCTTCTGGGATGTCAGACTGGAACCTCAAACCCATAACTACTGTATTACAGAGCTAAAAGCCTCACTGCTATTCCAATGACATCATTGTCCCCTTATCCCAATTGGGATGACATCAGCTTGAGTTCCTGCCAGACTGCAAGGTTCACAATTGCAGAATGTATTTCCAACAGGGCACTTACAGCATCAATTCAGATATAAAAGATAAGGAACATGAGGCTGGGTCAGAGATGCGTTTTAAGGTCGTGAATTAAAACAGTGTTCTAATAGTTGGACTGTTTCAACTCAAATGGCTCTTAGTGGCCCTCAGGAATCCCACTTCTATTCAGTTTTTCTCCACTGCCGCATCCTAGGCATTTGAAATGACTTATTTTGAGGCTACTGGCCTGAAGCTACTTCTGGGGTAGGACACGATATCCATCTAGAATGTATGTCATGTTGTGTAACAATGGGTTGGGTAAGAAGCAGATTGTTTGGAGGTAAACTTCTGTTCTCACAAAAAAAATGAGGGCTCTTCATCTGTGTAGATTACGCACACAACAGATAAGGTTTAATTAAGGAAGCTGCTCAGAAATAACCTGTACACAATGAAACTCCTGGAAAGCAATTTGTCTTCCTTTGAAAGCTGAAAGGGTGAGTCAGCCTTGCCAGGATGTATTCAAAAGCATTGCAGTGGAAAACAAGAAATCTATCTGTCTTATCTATCCGCCATGCATGTTTGACATCTTGGTCGTAATATTGTGGTATTCTGGTATAAAAGTGACAATTATTATTAGTGTTTGTACAGACTCAGGAGCCCCTAGCCAAAAAAAACAGGTCTGGTGAGGAGAGTTTTCATGTATTATTATTCAGTCATGCACCCCCTTCATCTATAAATTTATGTATAAACCCATACTAATACTTAATATTGAAATATTCAGGATATTGTTAATGTGCATGGAACTTGAAAATACTAAGGCTGGTTCATACAGAGCCAAACATGTCCTTCTTCATTTAGACCAACCCCATATACCCTCTGAAGCCAATGTACAAAGCTTTGCCTTCATGAAACATACTGGTAGGGTTTTATGTCTCTATCTGCACCAATCCTGGAAAGATGATCCTCTCACCATCTCAATCTGCTTGTCTGCCACACCTCCAGCTTTCTAGGACATTCCTTCCCAGGCAGACAGTTCTTGTAAGTGAGACTTTCCTTGCTGTCACATAGCTGAGAGTAGTAGATGAGAAATGAATGCTTAGGACATAGACAGGATAGAGGTTAGTTTGTAGATACTAAGAATGTGGAAATTTCATTGATCCAAGACCCCAGGATTTCTAATCTCTGGCTACCTTTCTACCTTCTATCTCCAGAGTTTACAGAAGCATCAAAACATAAAAAATAATGAAGAAAGCTCCATTTTAACCTCCAGGACCATATAAATGGAAAAGGGAAATATATTACTCTCATCTTAAAAACAAACAAACAAAAAGAAAACAATCTTGTACTTAGTGAAAAGATATAAGGACCTCAAGTAATTCCATTTTCATGACACCTGCACTGAGGTACATGTGGAAATCTTTCCTTCAGTTGACTGGGTGAAACAGTACTGAATCAGCTAATCATTGGTGGTATTTGTGGGGTGAATTGTAGAATGGCTTCGGTTGGAAGGGACCTCAAAGCCCATCCAGTTCCAAGCCCCTGCTGTGGGCAGGACTTCCACCCACCAGCTCAGGCTGCCCGGGGCCCCATCCAACCTGACCTTAAACTGCAGGGATCAGACATCCACAACCTCTCTGGGCAGCCTTTTTCAGCACTTCACCATCCTCTAAGTGAAAAAATTTATCCTTGTCTTATCACTATTTGCCTGTGTAAAAAGTCAGTCTACCTCTAGTTTGTAAGTTCTCTTACTGGAAGGCTGCAATGAGGTCTCCCCACAGTCTTCTCTTCCTCAGGCTGAACCTGTTCAGCTCCCCCAGCCTTTCTTTGTCAGCCCTCTGAGGAAGATACACATCAGCCCATGATGTTCTAATCTTGACTACTGTACAACATATATTCGACTGACATCATTCAATTGATTTGCAATGAGATTTAGGCACCTGACTCTCACTGATTTCACAGGATTGAGTCACCTCAAAGCTTTTGTAGGCCTGGCTCTGCATGACCTGATTTGTCTCAGATACAGCATTTAAGGAGCAGAGTGCATTAAAAAAAAATACCATCTGTCTCCCCAGAAGGAGTGAAACATGGACACGTGAGAGAGAGAGAAAAGACTTTCACATCTTGTGAAGTGAGGAAGCAATTTAGCACAGAGAACAGCTTTTTTTTTAACCCAGTTAAATGGTGTGAAGACACCTGGATAGGGGATGGCACCTCTTAGCACAACCTGTCTGCAAGGCGAGGAAACAAACAGAGTTTCTTTTATTCCCAGGATGGCAATGGTGATGGCGGCAAAACACCCCAGAAAGAGAAAAGGTTAGTTTGTGTCTCCAGAAACAATGCAAGATGGTTCCCCAGTGTATAACAAGCAGGGCATCAGCTCTTCAGCTTTAATACTTGAGCAATTATTGGGTTTTCATTATTTTCCCTATGAGATTCTCTCACACGTGAAATTTCCCCTCTATTTTATGATACCCGAAATGGAACAGGCTTATGATAGT